ATGAGGTACACATGCATATTTAATGTGTTCTCGCTGTGCTGTTGTGACTCCTGCTTTTATGAACACTTCCCGGCGACAGACGTGGCTCTCGGCAAACACTGCTGTCATTTGCCCTCCACCTAATAATATACAGTGCAGTTTCCATGTTGTATTTCCGCTTAATATCACATCCAGTTGAATATTTATATATATTGGTGTGTGTGTGTGTGTGTCTTATCAATTCAGTTTATATATGTGTGTGTGTGGTCTGAAAATATGGTGTGTCTGTGTGTCTTAATTCTATCCATATTTCTACAGTTTATATATCAGTGTTCTTCTGTCGCTCACAGGCAGATCAGTGTGTGTGTGTGTGTGTGTGTGTGTGTGTGTGTGGCCTGAGATTACAGTATATATATCAGTGTTGTTCTGTCACTCACAGGCAGATCAGCATCATGTCGAATGATCCGGAAAACCCGAAGAAAATGTCCCGGCGCCGGCGCTGCAGTGAGAGAAAACACTCCGAGCCACCGGTGGAGAAGGAGGAGAAGAAGGAGAACAAGCTGATCCAGGCGGAGACCACTGAGACCGGGCGGGTGAGTGTGTGTGTGAGTGTGTGTGTGTGGATGAATGAATGAATGAATGAGGCATTTATATGTGAATGTGTGTGTGTGTGTGTGTGTGTGTAGGTGAAGCTGAAGGTGTACTGGGAGTACATGAAGGCTGTGGGGCCTCTGCTCTCGCTCTTCATCTGTGTGTGTGTGTGTGTGTGTGTGTGTGTGTGTGTAGGTGAAGCTGAAGGTGTACTGGGAGTACATGAAGGCTGTGGGGCCTCTGCTCTCGCTCTTCATCTGTGTGTGTGTGTGTGTGTGTGTGTGTAGGTGAAGCTGAAGGTGTACTGGGAGTACATGAAGGCTGTGGGGCCTCTGCTCTCGCTCTTCATCTGTGTGTGTGTGTGTGTGTGTGTGTGTGTGTGTGTGTGTGTGTGTGTAGGTGAAGCTGAAGGTGTATTGGGAGTACATGAAGGCTGTGGGGCCTCTGCTCTCGCTCTTCATCTGTGTGTGTGTGTGTGTGTGTGTGTGTGTGTAGGTGAAGCTGAAGGTGTATTGGGAGTACATGAAGGCTGTGGGGCCTCTGCTCTCGCTCTTCATCTGTGTGTGTGTGTGTGTGTGTGTGTGTAGGTGAAGCTGAAGGTGTACTGGGAGTACATGAAGGCTGTGGGGCCTCTGCTCTCGCTCTTCATCTGTGTGTGTGTGTGTGTGTGTGTGTGTGTGTAGGTGAAGCTGAAGGTGTATTGGGAGTACATGAAGGCTGTGGGGCCTCTGCTCTCGCTCTTCATCTGCGTGTGTGTGTGTGTGTGTGTGTAGGTGAAGCTGAAGGTGTACTGGGAGTACATGAAGGCTGTGGGGCCTCTGCTCTCGCTCTTCATCTGTGTGTGTGTGTGTGTGTGTGTGTGTAGGTGAAGCTGAAGGTGTACTGGGAGTACATGAAGGCTGTGGGGCCTCTGCTCTCGCTCTTCATCTGTGTGTGTGTGTGTGTGTGTGTGTGTGTGTGTGTGTGTGTGTGTGTGTAGGTGAAGCTGAAGGTGTACTGGGAGTACATGAAGGCTGTGGGGCCTCTGCTCTCGCTCTTCATCTGTGTGTGTGTGTGTGTGTGTGTGTGTGTGTGTGTAGGTGAAGCTGAAGGTGTACTGGGAGTACATGAAGGCTGTGGGGCCTCTGCTCTCGCTCTTCATCTGTGTGTGTGTGTGTGTGTGTGTGTGAAGGTGAAGCTGAAGGTGTACTGGGAGTATATGAAGGCCGTGGGGCCTCTGCTCTCGCTCTTCATCTGTGTGTGTGTGTGTGTGTGTGTGTGTGTGTGTGTGTAGGTGAAGCTGAAGGTGTACTGGGAGTACATGAAGGCTGTGGGGCCTCTGCTCTCGCTCTTCATCTGTGTGTGTGTGTGTGTGTGTGTGTAGGTGAAGCTGAAGGTGTACTGGGAGTACATGAAGGCTGTGGGGCCTCTGCTCTCGCTCTTCATCTGTGTGTGTGTGTATGTGTGTGTGTGTGTAGGTGAAGCTGAAGGTGTACTGGGGGTACATGAAGGCTGTGGGGCCTCTGCTCTCGCTCTTCATCTGTGTGTGTGTGTGTGTGTGTGTGTGTGTAGGTGAAGCTGAAGGTGTACTGGGAGTACATGAAGGCTGTGGGGCCTCTGCTCTCGCTCTTCATCTGTGTGTGTGTGTGTGTGTGTGTGTGTGTAGGTGAAGCTGAAGGTGTACTGGGAGTACATGAAGGCTGTGGGGCCTCTGCTCTCGCTCTTCATCTGTGTGTGTGTGTGTGTGTGTGTGTGTGTGTGTGTGTGTGTGTGTGTGTGTGTGTGTGTGTGTGTGTGTGTAGGTGAAGCTGAAGGTGTACTGGGAGTACATGAAGGCTGTGGGGCCTCTGCTCTCGCTCTTCATCTGTGTGTGTGTGTGTGTGTGTGTGTGTGTGTGTGTGTGTAGGTGAAGCTGAAGGTGTACTGGGAGTACATGAAGGCTGTGGGGCCTCTGCTCTCGCTCTTCATCTGTGTGTGTGTGTGTGTGTGTGTGTGTGTGTGTGTAGGTGAAGCTGAAGGTGTACTGGGAGTATATGAAGGCTGTGGGGCCTCTGCTCTCGCTCTTCATCTGTGTGTGTGTGTGTGTGTGTGTGTGTGTAGGTGAAGCTGAAGGTGTACTGGGAGTACATGAAGGCTGTGGGGCCTCTGCTCTCGCTCTTCATCTGTGTGTGTGTGTGTGTGTGTGTAGGTGAAGCTGAAGGTGTACTGGGAGTACATGAAGGCTGTGGGGCCTCTCCTCTCACTCTTCATCTGTGTGTGTGTGTGTGTGTGTGTGTGTGTGTGTGTAGGTGAAGCTGAAGGTGTACTGGGAGTACATGAAGGCTGTGGGGCCTCTGCTCTCGCTCTTCATCTGTGTGTGTGTGTGTGTGTGTGTGTGTAGGTGAAGCTGAAGGTGTACTGGGAGTATATGAAGGCTGTGGGGCCTCTGCTCTCGCTCTTCATCTGTGTGTGTGTGTGTGTGTGTGTGTGTGTGTGTAGGTGAAGCTGAAGGTGTACTGGGAGTACATGAAGGCTGTGGGGCCTCTGCTCTCGCTCTTCATCTGTGTGTGTGTGTGTGTGTGTGTGTGTAGGTGAAGCTGAAGGTGTACTGGGAGTACATGAAGGCTGTGGGGCCTCTGCTCTCGCTCTTCATCTGTGTGTGTGTGTGTGTGTGTGTGTGTGTAGGTGAAGCTGAAGGTGTACTGGGAGTACATGAAGGCTGTGGGGCCTCTGCTCTCGCTCTTCATCTGTGTGTGTGTGTGTGTGTGTGTGTGTGTGTGTGTGTGTGTGTGTGTGTGTAGGTGAAGCTGAAGGTGTACTGGGAGTACATGAAGGCTGTGGGGCCTCTGCTCTCGCTCTTCATCTGTGTGTGTGTGTGTGTGTGTGTGTGTAGGTGAAGCTGAAGGTGTACTGGGAGTACATGAAGGCTGTGGGGCCTCTGCTCTCGCTCTTCATCTGTGTGTGTGTGTGTGTGTGTGTGTGTGTGTGTAGGTGAAGCTGAAGGTGTACTGGGAGTACATGAAGGCTGTGGGGCCTCTGCTCTCGCTCTTCATCTGTGTGTGTGTGTGTGTGTGTGTGTGTGTGTGTAGGTGAAGCTGAAGGTGTACTGGGAGTACATGAAGGCTGTGGGGCCTCTGCTCTCGCTCTTCATCTGTGTGTGTGTGTGTGTGTGTGTGTGTGTAGGTGAAGCTGAAGGTGTACTGGGAGTACATGAAGGCTGTGGGGCCTCTGCTCTCGCTCTTCATCTGTGTGTGTGTGTGTGTGTGTGTGTGTGTGTGTAGGTGAAGCTGAAGGTGTACTGGGAGTACATGAAGGCTGTGGGGCCTCTGCTCTCGCTCTTCATCTGTGTGTGTGTGTGTGTGTGTGTGTAGGTGAAGCTGAAGGTGTACTGGGAGTACATGAAGGCTGTGGGGCCTCTGCTCTCGCTCTTCATCTGTGTGTGTGTGTGTGTGTGTGTGTGTAGGTGAAGCTGAAGGTGTACTGGGAGTACATGAAGGCTGTGGGGCCTCTGCTCTCGCTCTTCATCTGTGTGTGTGTGTGTGTGTGTGTGTGTGTGTGTGTGTAGGTGAAGCTGAAGGTGTACTGGGAGTACATGAAGGCTGTGGGGCCTCTGCTCTCGCTCTTCATCTGTGTGTGTGTGTGTGTGTGTGTGTGTGTGTGTAGGTGAAGCTGAAGGTGTACTGGGAGTACATGAAGGCTGTGGGGCCTCTGCTCTCGCTCTTCATCTGTGTGTGTGTGTGTGTGTGTGTGTGTGTGTGTGTGTGTGTGTGTGTGTGTGTGTGTGTGTGTGTGTGTGTGTGTGTGTGTGTGTGTGTGTGTGTGTGTGTAGGTGAAGCTGAAGGTGTACTGGGAGTACATGAAGGCTGTGGGGCCTCTGCTCTCGCTCTTCATCTGTGTGTGTGTGTGTGTGTGTGTGTGTGTGTGTAGGTGAAGCTGAAGGTGTACTGGGAGTACATGAAGGCTGTGGGGCCTCTGCTCTCGCTCTTCATCTGTGTGTGTGTGTGTGTGTGTGTGTGTGTGTGTGTGTGTAGGTGAAGCTGAAGGTGTACTGGGAGTACATGAAGGCTGTGGGGCCTCTGCTCTCGCTCTTCATCTGTGTGTGTGTGTGTGTGTGTGTGTGTAGGTGAAGCTGAAGGTGTACTGGGAGTATATGAAGGCCGTGGGGCCTCTGCTCTCGCTCTTCATCTGTGTGTGTGTGTGTGTGTGTGTGTGTGTGTGTGTGTGTGTGTGTGTGTGTAGGTGAAGCTGAAGGTGTACTGGGAGTACATGAAGGCTGTGGGGCCTCTGCTCTCGCTCTTCATCTGTGTGTGTGTGTGTGTGTGTGTGTGTAGGTGAAGCTGAAGGTGTACTGGGAGTACATGAAGGCTGTGGGGCCTCTGCTCTCGCTCTTCATCTGTGTGTGTGTGTGTGTGTGTGTGTGTGTGTGTAGGTGAAGCTGAAGGTGTACTGGGAGTACATGAAGGCTGTGGGGCCTCTGCTCTCGCTCTTCATCTGTGTGTGTGTGTGTGTGTGTGTGTGTGTGTAGGTGAAGCTGAAGGTGTACTGGGAGTACATGAAGGCTGTGGGGCCTCTGCTCTCGCTCTTCATCTGTGTGTGTGTGTGTGTGTGTGTGTGTGTGTAGGTGAAGCTGAAGGTGTACTGGGAGTACATGAAGGCTGTGGGGCCTCTGCTCTCGCTCTTCATCTGTGTGTGTGTGTGTGTGTGTGTGTGTGTGTAGGTGAAGCTGAAGGTGTACTGGGAGTACATGAAGGCTGTGGGGCCTCTGCTCTCGCTCTTCATCTGTGTGTGTGTGTGTGTGTGTGTGTGTGTAGGTGAAGCTGAAGGTGTACTGGGAGTACATGAAGGCTGTGGGGCCTCTGCTCTCGCTCTTCATCTGTGTGTGTGTGTGTGTGTGTGTGTGTGTGTGTGTGTGTGTGTGTGTGTAGGTGAAGCTGAAGGTGTACTGGGAGTACATGAAGGCTGTGGGGCCTCTGCTCTCGCTCTTCATCTGTGTGTGTGTGTGTGTGTGTGTGTGTAGGTGAAGCTGAAGGTGTACTGGGAGTACATGAAGGCTGTGGGGCCTCTGCTCTCGCTCTTCATCTGTGTGTGTGTGTGTGTGTGTGTGTGTGTGTGTGTGTAGGTGAAGCTGAAGGTGTACTGGGAGTACATGAAGGCTGTGGGGCCTCTGCTCTCGCTCTTCATCTGTGTGTGTGTGTGTGTGTGTGTGTGTAGGTGAAGCTGAAGGTGTACTGGGAGTACATGAAGGCTGTGGGGCCTCTGCTCTCGCTCTTCATCTGTGTGTGTGTGTGTGTGTGTGTGTGTGTGTAGGTGAAGCTGAAGGTGTACTGGGAGTACATGAAGGCTGTGGGGCCTCTGCTCTCGCTCTTCATCTGTGTGTGTGTGTGTGTGTGTGTGTGTGTGTGTGTGTAGGTGAAGCTGAAGGTGTACTGGGAGTACATGAAGGCTGTGGGGCCTCTGCTCTCGCTCTTCATCTGTGTGTGTGTGTGTGTGTGTGTGTGTAGGTGAAGCTGAAGGTGTACTGGGAGTACATGAAGGCTGTGGGGCCTCTGCTCTCGCTCTTCATCTGTGTGTGTGTGTGTGTGTGTGTGTGTGTGTAGGTGAAGCTGAAGGTGTACTGGGAGTACATGAAGGCTGTGGGGCCTCTGCTCTCGCTCTTCATCTGCTTCCTCTACGGCTGTCAGAGCGCCGCTGCGATCGGAGCGAACTTCTGGCTCAGCGAGTGGACCAACGACGCGCAGCTCAACCGGACGCAGGCGCGCGTGGAGATGAGGGTCGGCGTGTACGCAGCGCTGGGCCTTTCTCAAGGTACGCTCATGTGATCAAACACACATGACCGACACAACCCTGCTCACGTCTCTGCATTCACGTCCTCCCAAACACACATGAGAGATTATCCAGACCGACTCTTTTCTGTTTAATGACAGGTTGCAGTGAACGAGACTGTCAAGCTTCAAAAACAAAAGAAAACTCATAAAAAGAATTAGGAAATGCAGTATATATACAGGAAATGATGTCATTGGCTCTCAGGACTGTGTCAAGATAAAAAAAAAAAATTAGTATAATTTTTTTAATTATAAATATAAAATTATATACAATTGCGATTAATCGCATCCAAAATAAAAGTTTGTGTTTACATAATATATGTGTGTGTACTGTGTATAATTATTTTGTATATATAAATACACACATATGCATGTATATATATTTAAGAAATTTTTGCATGTATATATATTTATAATAATTTATATTATATATAAATATTTTATATTATATATAAATATAAATATTTTATATATAAATAATATATTTTTCTTAAATATACACATGCATTTGTGTGTATTTATATATACAATATAATTATACACAGTACACACACACATATTATGTAAACACAAACTTTTATTTTGTATGCGATTAATCATTGCCCAGCACTAATATATTACATTATAGATATTATTAGATATTATATTACATTATATAATATAAAATTATAATTAGATGTATTAAATACTAAAATTAATAGTTAATTTTACTTTTCATGACAAGTTCAGGTTTTAAAATGTCATGTGGTGCAACTCTCCATAAACATCATATTTATGAAATAGTAATTTATATGAATTCAAGTGAGTTTAAAAAAAAATGTTTTGTATAATATTAAAATGGGTTAGTTTGAGTTTGTATATTATTGTGCATGACTTTAATATCCATATTGAAAGCGAAGGATAATTTACTTCAAATCTTGTAAACAGAAAGCACGTTCAAAAGATGAACTCTGCTGTATGTAAACAATGAAGTAAATATTTAATGAGAAAGATTGTCAGATCTGTCACTCATTATGTGTTTAAAATAATATGAAAATGGTTTCGTTTTTATTGATTTGAATATGTGCTTATATCCATGTCGTTGTGCGTGCAAAATAGTAGAGAGAGACTCCGCCCACACTCTCTTCTGATTGGCTGTGAATTGATTTATACATATATAAAATAAAAAAGTAAATATTAAAAATAGTTATAGTTATGATTTATATTATATATATTTATTTTAATTTTATGAATTTTCTCACTTTTTTTTTTTTTTTAAAACGAAGCTTTTTAAAACATTGATATACCAATATATAATCTATTAAATGCAATTAACAATCATCTAATAGCATGAAGTGTCTCTATAGAATCTGTTTTTTTATTAAATCATTGTTTTATGGAGAGCTTGCTTAATCAGACCAATAACCACAAGTCTTTAAATGTCTACAGATGTATAAAACTGATCCTATATAGGGTTCACATTGAAGCATGTGTGTAACTTTGCCTCGTTTACTAATATCACATGATTGGCAAATGTTCCATCACTACTACAGTCTGTCACTATATGGAAAAGATCAGCATTAACATTTCTCTAAATCTCTCCTTTTCCTTGAGAATATTGACCAATAACCACAAATCGTTATTAAAGAAATGTGTCATTAAATGTCTACAAATGTGTAAAACTCACAGGTAACGGTCATGTATAGACAGCGGTGCATGGGTTCACAGAGAACACTGAGACTCTTCGTTTACTGACTCGTGACTCTGGCGGTTTGAGACCGTAAGATCTCACTATATGGAGAAGAGCAGCATTAACATTCCTCAAAATCTCTCCTTTTCCTTGAGAAACGAGCGAGTGTGTGTGTGTGTGTGTGTGTGTTCTCCTGCTCCCTCTGGCACCCCCTGTAGGTGTGTGTGTGTGTGTGTTCTCCTGCTCCCTCTGGTGCCCCCTGTAGGTGTGTGTGTGTGTGTGTGTTCTCCTGCTCCCTCTGGTGCCCCCTGTAGGTGTGTGTGTGTGTGTGTGTTCTCCTGCTCCCTCTGGTGCCCCCTGTAGGTGTGTGTGTGTGTGTGTTCTCCTGCTCCCTCTGGTGCCCCCTGTAGGTGTGTGTGTGTGTGTGTGTGTGTGTGTGTGTGTTCTCCTGCTCCCTCTGGTGCCCCCTGTAGGTGTGTGTGTGTGTGTGTGTTCTCCTGCTCCCTCTGGTGCCCCCTGTAGGTGTGTGTGTGTGTGTGTTCTCCTGCTCCCTCTGGTGCCCCCTGTAGGTGTGTGTGTGTGTGTGTGTTCTCCTGCTCCCTCTGGTGCCCCCTGTAGGTGTGTGTGTGTGTGTGTTCTCCTGCTCCCTCTGGTGCCCCCTGTAGGTGTGTGTGTGTGTGTGTGTTCTCCTGCTCCCTCTGGTGCCCCCTGTAGGTGTGTGTGTGTGTGTGTGTGTGTGTTCTCCTGCTCCCTCTGGTGCCCCCTGTAGGTGTGTGTGTGTGTGTGTGTTCTCCTGCTCCCTCTGGTGCCCCCTGTAGGTGTGTGTGTGTGTGTGTTCTCCTGCTCCCTCTGGTGCCCCCTGTAGGTGTGTGTGTGTGTGTGTGTGTTCTCCTGCTCCCTCTGGTGCCCCCTGTAGGTGTGTGTGTGTGTGTGTTCTCCTGCTCCCTCTGGTGCCCCCTGTAGGTGTGTGTGTGTGTGTGTGTTCTCCTGCTCCCTCTGGTGCCCCCTGTAGGTGTGTGTGTGTGTGTGTTCTCCTGCTCCCTCTGGTGCCCCCTGTAGGTGTGTGTGTGTGTGTGTGTGTGTGTTCTCCTGCTCCCTCTGGTGCCCCCTGTAGGTGTGTGTGTGTGTGTGTGTTCTCCTGCTCCCTCTGGTGCCCCCTGTAGGTGTGTGTGTGTGTGTGTGTTCTCCTGCTCCCTCTGGTGCCCCCTGTAGGTGTGTGTGTGTGTGTGTGTTCTCCTGCTCCCTCTGGTGCCCCCTGTAGGTGTGTGTGTGTGTGTGTTCTCCTGCTCCCTCTGGTGCCCCCTGTAGGTGTGTGTGTGTGTGTGTGTGTGTGTTCTCCTGCTCCCTCTGGCACCCCCTGTAGGTGTGTGTGTGTGTGTGTGTTCTCCTGCTCCCTCTGGTGCCCCCTGTAGGTGTGTGTGTGTGTGTGTTCTCCTGCTCCCTCTGGTGCCCCCTGTAGGTGTGTGTGTGTGTGTGTGTGTGTGTTCTCCTGCTCCCTCTGGTACCCCCTTTAGGTGTGTGTGTGTGTGTGTTCTCCTGCTCCCTCTGGCACCCCCTGTAGGTGTGTGTGTGTGTGTGTTCTCCTGCTCCCTCTGGTACCCCCTTTAGGTGTGTGTGTGTGTGTGTTCTCCTGCTCCCTCTGGCACCCCCTGTAGGTGTGTGTGTGTTCTCCTGCTCCCTCTGGTACCCCCTTTAGGTGTGTGTGTGTGTGTGTGTGTGTGTGTGTGTGTTCTCCTGCTCCCTCTGGCACCCCCTGTAGGTGTGTGTGTGTGTGTGTTCTCCTGCTCCCTCTGGTGCCCCCTGTAGGTGTGTGTGTGTGTGTGTGTGTTCTCCTGCTCCCTCTGGCACCCCCTGTAGGTGTGTGTGTGTGTGTGTGTGTGTGTGTTCTCCTGCTCCCTCTGGTGCCCCCTGTAGGTGTGTGTGTGTGTGTGTTCTCCTGCTCCCTCTGGTGCCCCCTGTAGGTGTGTGTGTGTGTGTGTGTGTGTGTTCTCCTGCTCCCTCTGGCACCCCCTGTAGGTGTGTGTGTGTGTGTGTGTGTGTGTGTGTGTGTTCTCCTGCTCCCTCTGGTGCCCCCTGTAGGTGTGTGTGTGTGTGTGTTCTCCTGCTCCCTCTGGTGCCCCCTGTAGGTGTGTGTGTGTGTGTGTGTGTGTGTTCTCCTGCTCCCTCTGGTACCCCCTTTAGGTGTGTGTGTGTGTGTGTTCTCCTGCTCCCTCTGGTGCCCCCTGTAGGTGTGTGTGTGTGTGTTCTCCTGCTCCCTCTGGTGCCCCCTGTAGGTGTGTGTGTGTGTGTGTGTTTGTGTGTGTGTGTTCTCCTGCTCCCTCTGGTGCCCCCTGCAGGTGTGTGTGTGTGTGTGTGTGTGTAGTGACGCTCTCCCCCTCCTCTGGCGCCCCCTGTAGGTGTGTGTGTGTGTGTGTGTGTGTGTGTGTGTTCTCCTGCTCCCTCTGGTGCCCCCTGTAGGTGTGTGTGTGTGTGTAGTGACGCTCTCCCCCTCCTCTGGCGCCCCCTGTAGGTGTGTGTGTGTGTGTGTGTGTAGTGACGCTCTCCCCCTCCTCTGGCGCCCCCTGTAGGTGTGTGTGTGTGTGTAGTGACGCTCTCCCCCTCCTCTGGCGCCCCCTGTAGGTGTGTGTGTGTGTGTGTGTGTAGTGACGCTCTCCCCCTCCTCTGGCGCCCCCTGTAGGTGTGTGTGTGTGTGTGTGTAGTGACTCTCTCCCCCTCCTCTGGCGCCCCCTGTAGGTGTGTGTGTGTGTGTGTGTGTGTGTGCGTGTGCAGTGACGCTCTCCTCCTCTGGCACCCCCTGTAGGTGTGTGTGTGTGTGTGTGTGTGTGTGTAGTGCCGCTCTCCCCCTCCTCTGGCGCCCCCTGTAGGTGTGTGTGTGTGTGTAGTAACGCTCTCCCCCTCCTCTGGCGCCCCCTGTAGGTGTGTGTGTGTGTGTAGTGACGCTCTCCCCCTCCTCTGGCGCCCCCTGTAGGTGTGTGTGTGTGTGTGTGTGTAGTGACGCTCTCCCCCTCCTCTGGCGCCCCCTGTAGGTGTGTGTGTGTAGTGACGCTCTCCCCCTCCTCTGGCGCCCCCTGTAGGTGTGTGTGTGTGTGTGTGTGTGTAGTGACGCTCTCCCCCTCCTCTGGCGCCCCCTGTAGGTGTGTGTGTGTGTGTGTGTGTGTAGTGACGCTCTCCCCCTCCTCTGGCGCCCCCTGTAGGTGTGTGTGTGTAGTGACGCTCTCCCCCTCCTCTGGCGCCCCCTGTAGGTGTGTGTGTGTGTGTGTGTGTGTAGTGACGCTCTCCCCCTCCTCTGGTCTCTCTAACACAGGCGTCCTGGTCATGTTTTCCTCCTTTACTCTGGCACTGGGGAAAATCCAGGGCTCCCGCAAGCTTCACCAGGCGCTGCTGGACAACAAGTTCCACACGCCACAGTCTTTCTTTGACACCACTCCCATAGGCCGGATCATCAACCGCTTCTCCAAGGACATTTACGTGATCGACGAGGTCCTTCCCTCCACAGTGCTCATGTTCCTGGGCACCTTCTTTGCCTCCGTGTCCACCATGATTGTTATCATTTGCAGCACACCCATATTCGCTCTGGTCATTGGCCCTCTGGCCTTGATTTACTTCTTTGTTCAGGTACTTTCTCCCATTTATTGCAGATTCTGGACGAGTCCGGCAGGTCCTTAACATTTCACTTCTCCCGAGCATGTGCAAAGACGTCTGAACCTCATCCGATTTATTCCTCTCCTCTTTTGCATGAGTCTATATGGCATCGTTCACACCGCCAGGAAAATCAGACTTTTTTTTCAAAATGCATTTAGTTTTTGATTGATAATTCTTATTAGTTCCAGTCTGAACGGTCAGATAAATAGCTTTTCTTTTGTGCACATATGTAACATCATTTAAAGTGTGCATTATGTTCTACGGCTGTCATGTTTGCTTATTATCTACAAAATATGATTTTCTTAATCAGTATTTCTGTCTTGTTTTCCAGCACAAATATCTAAACGTTTTTAAATCAGGATACAAGTACAGGTGAAACTCGAAACATTATAATATGGTGCAAAAGTTCATTTATTTCAGTAATTCAACTTAAAAGGTGAAACTAATATATTATATAGACTCATTACATGCAAAGTGAGATATTTCAAGCCTTTATTTGTTATAATTGTGATGATTATGGCTTACAGCTTATGAAAACCTTTTCACAATATTCTAATTTTGAAGCTGAAGCTGTAAGCCATAATCATCACAATTATAACAAATAAAGGCTTGAAATATCTCACTTTGCATGTAATGAGTCTATATAATATATTAGTTTCACCTTTTAAGTTGAATTACTGACATAAATGCACGATATTCACATTTTTCGAGTTTCACCTGTACTTATTTTGCCTGGTTTTACTTTATTGTGTGTATACAGCTCCTATGCAGTAAAAATATCTATACATTCTTAAATCAAGATGCATTTACATTTTTATTTAAAAACTGTATCACAATTAAGCGAGTTTATGCTGCCAAAGGCTCAGAATCATACTATTGGTTTCCCTTTGCATTAAGATAAGCTTTGTTTTAAGCTTAAATTTTGATTGTTTTTTTAATAAAACAAGACTCAATATTTTCAGTCATTTTGCTTTTCAAATACATTTAGCTTGATGTAAGAATGTTTGGATATTTGTCCTGGAGAACAAGACAGAAACACTGAGGAAGAACAGCATGTTTTGCAGTGTATGCATTAAATATAAATAAGTCAAACACTCGCTCCTGAACATCAGATTTCCTCGCGGTGTGAGCGAAGCCATGTCTTGTGCGACTGCTCACTTCCTGTTTCTCCTGCTCACTTCCTGTTTCTCGTGTGTTTTCACTCTAACACTCATTCATGAGCACAAACCATCACACACACACACATGCACACACACACACACACACACACACAGGGACTCTCGTGGTTTGTGTGTAAATCCTGCTTTTCTGTTAGCGCTGATGATGATGATTATTGAACTTATTTCCAATAATTTTGAGTTATTAAATGGTGCATCTGTGGTTGAGAGCAGTGCTTTAGTCGAGATATTGTCTAGTTATTATCTATAGTTCTCAAATGAGATTTTTCTGATGTTTCAGTCGTCGCTCTGAAACTGATGTTTAGCTTCTCGGATGTTTATCTTGAGATCCCAGTATAATCTCATATTTCAGATCAGATCTCAATAATGTCTGCAATCAAAAGACAGAGATTTCAATATGATCTCAAACATTTCTCTTCAAATTCTTGAAAAAAAGATGAAATTGCACAACCGGTCAAAAGTTCGGAATAATTGTGTTTTTTGAAAGAGTCTCTTCTGCTCACCAAAAGCAGCATTTATTTGATAAAAAATGCAGTAAAATAGGGAAATATTAACATCTGTTTTCTATGTGAATATATAGTAAAGTGTAATTTATTCCTGTGAATTTTCAGCATCATTACTCCAGTCTTCAGTGTCACATGATCCTTCACAAATCACTCTAATATGAGGATCTGATGCTCAAGAAACATTTATCAATGTTCAATACAGTTCATTTGTTTGTGGAAACCGTCATATATTGTTTTTCCAGTATTCTTTGATGAATATAAAGTTCAAAAGAACAGCATTTATTTGAAATAGAATCTTTTTTAATATTATAAATGTCACTTTTGATCAATTTAATGCGACCCTGATGAATAAAAGTAATAATTTCTTCTTTTTTTTTTAACCCCCGAACTTTTGACCGGTACTGTGTCTGAGCTATGAGACATAATTTTATATAGTATAATGTATTTGTTTTTACAAATTAGCTGATAGTTTTTGAGGAGCCTCGTCAGTGTTCATATCTGAGAATCATAAACACGAAATCAAACATTAATCAGTGTTCTGTCTTTCACATTTATGCATTTGGCAGATGCGTATATTGCATTCCAGGTTGAAGTGTTATCAGTTCCTGCATTTGAGTGTTTCTCTCCCAGATGTGTGTGTGTGTGTTTGCACCATCGTTCAGCTCCACTAGTGGCGTCACACACACAGACTGCAGGGCTGGCTTACAATATTGAGTTCTCGATTGTTATCGATTCTCATTTTGATGAACCATTATTGATTCTTAGATTGGTCTTTGTGTGAACAAAGCTTCACTATATGGAACAAAGTCTCCGCTTTCAAATTCTGTCAGTTTCATAGCAAAATTCAAGCAATAAATGTGTGTTTGTGGGTCTTTAATGTGTGACAGATGAACCGATCATCTCTGCCTCTTCACTACTAGTTACAGCAGCAATATTAATAAACACAGTGAACATCAGAAGGAATGATGAAGATACAGAACAACTTCCTGAAGTCAGTCATGATCCATCGATCAGTGTTTAACCGTCAGCTGGAGGACAATAATGCCAAAACAAGCCATTCGATGACCATAAATACCTGATATATATCCAAATGAATCGATATCAAATCAAAATTCAATCGGAAGTGAATCGAAATCAAACTTGTTAATCGAAATTGGAATTTAAATCAATCATAAGCTTGTGAATCAAAATGGGAATTGAATCGGATTGCAAGCCTGTGAATTAAACATGGAATTGAATCGAATCACATGCTCGTGAATCCAATCGCAAACTTGTGAATCAAAATCGGAATTTAGTCGAATTACAAGCCTGTGAATCAAAATCGAAAGTGAATTGAATCTCAAACTTGTGAATCAAAATCGGAATGAATAAAATCACAACCTTGTGAATCAAAATCGGAATCGAATAAAATCACAAGCTTGTGGTTTGAAATCGAAAGTGAATTGAATCTCAAACTTGTGAATCAAAATCGGAATTGAATCAAACCGCAAACTTGTGAATCGAATCAAATAAAATCACAAGCTAGTGAATCGAATTCGAAAGTAAAATCAAATCTCAAACTTGTGAATCAAAATCGGAATTGAATCAAATCGCAAACTTGTGAATCAAAATCGGAATTGAATCAAATCACAAGCTTGTGAATCGAATCGAATAAAATCACAAGCTTGTGAATCGAATTCGAAAGTGAATAAAATCTCAAACTTGTGAATCAAAATCGGAATTGAATCAAATCGCAAACTTGTGAATCAAATTCGGAATTGAATCAAATCACAAGCTTGTGAATCAAAATCAAAAGTGAATCGAATCTCAAACTTGTGAATCAAAATCGGAATTTAATCAAATCGCAAACTTGTGAATCAAAATCGGAATCGAATAAAATCACAAGCTTGTGAATCGAATCGAATAAAATCACAAGCTTGTGAATCGAATTCGAAAGTGAATCAAATCTCAAACTTGTGAATCAAAATCAGAATCGAATAAAATCACAAACTTGTGAATCAAAATCGGAATCGAATAAAATCACAAGCTTGTGAATCAAATCGAATAAAATCACAAGCTTGTGAATCGAATTCGAAAGTGAATTAAATCTCAAACTTGTGAATCAAAATCGGAATTGAATTAAATCTCAAAATTGTGAATCAAAATCGGAATTTAATCAAATCGCAAACTTGTGAATCAAAATCGGAATCGAATAAAATCACAAGCTTGTGAATCGAATCGAATAAAATCACAAGCTTGTGAATCGAATTCGAAAGTGAATCAAATCTCAAACTTGTGAATCAAAATCAGAATCGAATAAAATCACAAACTTGTGAATCAATATCGGAATTGAATAAAATCACAAGCTTGTGAATCAAATCGAATAAAATCACAAGCTTGTGAATCGAATTCGAAAGTGAATTAAATCTCAAACTTGTGAATCAAAATCGGAATTGAATAAAATCGCAAACTTGTGAATCAAAATCGGAATTGAATAAAATCACAAGCTTGTGAATCAAATCGAATAAAATCACAAGCTTGTGAATCGAATCGAATAAAATCACAGGCTTGTGAATCAAAATCGGAAGTGAATCAAAACTGAAATGTGAAACTGGTGTTTCCAGCCCTATAGCCTGTCTGACGAGCCAGTCTGAATCAGACGAGCGAGGGCTAAACCCGACTAACCCTCCTCTTCCTCGTTGTGTGTGTCGTTGTGCGCAGGTGTGCTGATTCTGGCCAACGCTTTACTGTGCCGGGCGTACAGCACACTGAAGGCGGCCCGCCTCACACACCAGCACATGCTCCAGGCCATCCTGAGCGCGCCACAGGCCTTTTTCCAGGCCACCCCCTCAGGCCGGGTCCTGAACCGCTTCAGCAAAGACGTGGACACTATAGACTCGCTCATTCCAGACAATATTGATATCTGGATGCGCACTTTCTGGTACACAGTAAATGTGCTGCTCGTTTGCTCTGTCCTCACCCCTATGTTCCTCATAGTCATAGTGCCGTTAATGCTGTTCTATTGGTGGGTCCAGGTAAATAGGAACAAGTCTGCTAACTCATTAATACAGCATGCTAACATGTGTTGATGTTCTGTTCTAGCTGCATTATTATCACTGTCGTAGTGTTGTAGTCTTTACACCGTGTGGTTTGGTCACTGGGTTTTGGTGCGGTCAGGGAGTCGAGACTCTGGTGAACGAACGGAGAGACTCGACTCACTGAACTGATGCTGTTCTTTACCCAAACGCACAGGAACATAAGGCAGTGCTTCTGTTTTATAGTGAATTATTCATCATTTGAGGAAAGGTAATAATAATAATTATGATAGTAATCATTTTTGCAATAATGTATTCAATTATATACTACTACTATTGCTAATAATAATTATGATAGTAATAATTTTTGCAATAATGTATTCAATTATACACTACTACTACTGCTAATAATAATAATAATTAATTTTTGCAATAATGTATTCAATTATATACTACTACTATTGCTAATAATAATAATAATAATAATAATAATTAATTTGTGCAATAATGTATTCAATTATATACTACTACTACTCCTAATAATAATAATTAATTTTTGCAATAATGTATTCAATTATATACTACTACTATTGCTAATAATAATAATGATAGTAATCATTCATTTTTGCAATAATTTGTTTAATGATATACTACTACTACTACTGCTAATAATAATAATAATGATAACAATAATTATTATATAATTTAATACATTAATGTAATAATTATATCATTTAAATAACATTGTATTATTATTATTATTATTGACAACAGCAGAAACAACAACAATAGTGGTAATAAATTATTGCAATAATTTATTAAATATAATACTACTGCTACTAATAATAATAGTATTAATAATTTGAATTATTTTGATTATATAATTTATAAATTACTGCAAGAAAATAATAATACATTATCGCAATAATTTGTTAAATTATATAATACTACTACTTATAATAATAATATTTCGATTATAATAATATTTTATATTATTTAATACATTATTAATATGATTATGAGTATTATGATGATGATCATTAGTTTTGCAATCATTTATTATTATTATTCACGACAGCAATAATTTATTACATTATTTTTTATAAAGTTCATGTTTAAGTATACTACTACTAATAATGATAATTATTATGATGATTTAAATTATTACAACAAAATAATAATAGAATATTGCAATCATTTATTAAATGACGACTACTTATAATAATTCTAATGTTTATCATTATTATTAAATATATCTATATATCATTTAATAAAGTATTACAATAAATTATTACTGTTAATATTTGGGTTAATAATATCAATGGTAATAGTGGTAGTAACAATAACATTAATGATGATAATAATAATTATTATTATTATATATGCATTATTGCAATAACGTATTATTATTAATTATATGAATGTGCTGGTATGCTGTATATCCGCCTGTATGGATATACGATGTAATGAAAAGTATAAGTAATAAAGATGGGTAAAGAACAGCGTTTTACAGTAGAGTTACAGTAGAGTTACAGTAGAAGATGAAGTTTTGCTGTGGGAATGTCATCATTTCATCAGTACTAATGCAAGCGCGCGTAACAGACTGTGATTCAAGTGGACTTTTAACTCATACCTGGCATGTAGTTATTTTAATGGAAGAACTTGCATATGTAAAATAATAATCCATATAAGAAGTGTGTTTGGTGGTGAGCTCCGCTGTTAATTATCTACTAATATTTAGACTATTAACAATGTAGTGTTAAGTTCTTCTGGTAACACTTTACTTGAAGGGGTGTGCATAAGACTGACATGACACCTTCATAATCGTGACATGTCTTGAATATGAAGGATGTTTATGCAACTGTCATTAAGTGTCATTCGCTCAATTATGACATTTTTAATGCAAATATGACATTGTTTGAGATGTCTTTGTTATGACACCTTGACATTACTAAGACAAAAAAACCTGTCATAAACATGTCATAAACATGACATAGCAGATTAATTATCAAACTTAAGAAGCCACTTAGCTTTATGGGTTAACATTACATTAAACTGTCATGTGGTTGGTTTTGACATTGGCTGTCATGAGGCCATTATAACATGTTAATGACAAATTCAATGTGTACCACTGTAGTTGAGGTCAAGAAAAATATTCATGACACAGTTATAATGCCTCATGACAGCCAATGTCAAAACCAACCACATGACAGTTTAATGTAATGTTAACCCATAAAGCTAAGTGGCTTCTTAAGTTTGATAATTAATCTGCTATGTCATGTTTATGACATGTTTATGACAATTTATGTTGTCTTAGTAATGTCAAGTTGTCATGACAAAGACATCTCAAACAATGTCATATATATGACACTTAATGACAGTTGTCATAAACATGCATAAACCCTCTGTGTCATGTCATGATTATGAAGGTGTCATGTCAGTCTTATGCACACCCCTTCAAGTAAAGTGTTACCGATCTTCTTGAACAGTTCAGATGCTAATTACAAGTAGTGGAAAGAAAAACAGCATTAGGGTTTGTAACACTGTTTAATATTGATAATGGTGTTTCATATGTTTATGGGCCTCTATCGAGTGTCATAATTTGATCTCGTATGTGATTCTCTCGACTCATCGGTACTAAACCCTCAATCTCTCATTGCATAATTGCCCGTGGTCTTGCATCTCTCCTGATTGTGCTGTAACTCCTCATCTTCTTTGCATGGCACGAACTGGCTTTCTGAAGCGCTCTGTGTTTTCTGAGCCAATCGCCTGTCGCATGCAGCCGAAATATCACATGATTCTCACAGATTGTTATTAATGTCATTATATTCAGAAATGCACAAAGCCAAACCAAACACTACAACATTATGATAGCGTTTAATCCCATTTATATTTGATCCCTTAATGTGAATGGTATTTTTAATATATATATCAATAAGAGTATTGCATTCTGAAATATTGTTTGATTAAAAGTGCTTATGGTGAGGATTCTAGAAACTTAATTAAACTAAATTAACTAAATTAAAGATTGGACATGTTATGCGGTTTGTCTCAATGAAGGAATGTGCAGATTAACTAGAATCACATACAGTTTATTATAGTTTGCGATATTTGATATTCAGAAGAATTTTGATTATTGTATTCAGACTTAATTGATCAAAAGTGACAGTAAAGACATTTATAATGTTACAAACGATTCTATGTCAAATTAATGCTGTTCTTTTGAACTTTCTATTCATCAAAGAATCCTGAAAAATTAAATGTATCACGGTTTTCAACATTGATAATAATCATAAATGTTTCTTGAGCATCAGATCCTCATATTAGAGTGATTTCTGAAGGATCATGTGACACTGAAGACTGGAGTAATGATGCTGAAAATACAGCTTTGATCACAGGAATAAATTACACTTTACTGTATATTCACATAGAAAACAGCAGTTCATATTTCACTATTTTACTGTATTTTTGATTAAATATGTGCAGCTTTGATCACAGGAATAAATTACACTTTACTATATATTCACATAGAAAACAACTGATTTATATTATAATAATATTATACTGTTTTTACTGTATTTTTGATCAAATAAATGAAGCTTTGGTGAGCAGAAGAGACTCTTTCAGAAACATAAAAACTCTCACCGACCCCAAAATCTTTAACAATGTATGTCACTGTATTGTGCATAAGATTTTTTTTAAAGAAAATATATAAAATTATTATATAGAAGCTCATGAATTATTTAACATTTATCTTGATTAGGCATTTTCTCTTATTATAAATAGTATTATTATAAATAGTCTCTTAGTTAGTACTAAACTGACCAAACATTCCTAGAGTTGAGACAAACCTGCAATATTATCTTGTTAATTTTAAAGCATTTTGAAATTTTGCCTTAATAAAAGACTTCGACAAAGCAAAAAATCAGAGCAAAAATGCATGTTGTCAAATGAAGAGTGTGTCTTCTGAATCCTCACTCATTCATGCATGTATAAATATGTAATATCCCTGCTGTAGTTTGTGTGTGTAAAGCATGTTTTTCCTCCGTAGAGGTTTTATGTGGCCACGTCTCGTCAGCTTAAGAGGCTGGAGTCTGTCAGTAGGTCTCCTATATATTCTCATTTCTCGGAGACCATCACGGGCACGAGCGTGATCCGCGCGTACGGGCGCCACGGCGCCTTCGTTCTCATGAGCGATATGAAAGTGGATGAGAACCAAAAGAGTTACTACCCTGGTATCGTCTCCAACAGGTTGGTTCGGTCTCGCTCACACTCGCTCGGATGCATGCAGATTTTACAATCGCGACTTTAATTATTTAACAATTGCGACTTTATATCACGCAATTCTCACTATATATCACACAATACTGACTTTATAACAATTGCGACTTTTTAACACGCATTACTGACTTTATAGCAATTGCGACTTTATATCACGCAATTCTGACTTTATAACAATTGCGACTTTATATCACGCAATTCTGACTTTATAACAATTGCGACTTTATATCTTGCAATTCTGACTTTATGACAATTGCAACTTTATATCACGCAATACTGACTTTTTATCACGCAATACTGTCTATAACAATTGCGACTTTATATCACGCAATACAGTTTACAATTGCAAATTTATATCTCACAATTCTGACTTTATAACAATTGCGACTTTATATCTTGCAATTCTGACTTTATACACGCAATTGCGACTTTATATCTTGCAATTCTGACTTTATAACAATTGCGACTTTATATCTGGCAATTCTGACTTTATAACAATTGCGACTTTATATCACGCAATTCTGACTTTATAATAATTGCGACTTTATATCACACAATTCTGACTTTATAACAATTGCGACTTTATATCACGCAATTCTGACTTTATAACAATTGCGACTTTATATCACACAATTCTGACTTTATAACAATTGCGACTTTATATCACGCAATTCTGACTTTATAACAATTGCGACTTTATAACAATTGCGACTTTATATCACGCAATTCTGACTTTATAACAATTGCAACTATATATCTCGCAATTCTGACTTTATAACAATTGCGAATTTATAACAATTGCGACTTTATACCTCACAATTCTGACTTTATAACAATTACGACTTTAAATCACGCAATTCTGACTTTATAACAATTGCGAATTTATAACAATTGCGACTTTATATCTCACAATTCTGACTTTATAACAATTGCGACTTTATAACAATTGCGACTTTATATCACGCAATTCTGACTTTATAACAATTGCAACTATATATCTCGCAATTCTGACTTTATAACAATTGCGAATTTATAACAATTGCGACTTTATACCTCACAATTCTGACTTTATAACAATTACGACTTTAAATCACGCAATTCTGACTTTATAACAATTGCGAATTTATAACAATTGCGACTTTATATCTCACAATTCTGACTTTATAACAATTACGACTTTAAATCACGCAATTCTGACTTTATAACAATTGCGACTATAACAATTGCGACTTTATCTCATGCAATTCTGACTTTATAAGTCGTTCGGATGCATGCAGATTTTCTTCCGTCTTCCATTTATTTCTGGCTTTTGTGGGAAATGTCTCTGAAATGTCGCTCAGTTGTAACATGTTGTGTTTGGGTGCGAAACAGGTGGTTGGGGGTTCGGATCGAGTTTATCGGGAACTGTATTGTGTTGTTTGCTGCTCTGTTCGCTGCGGTCGGGAAGGATAAACTGAGTCCTGGTCTGGTGGGTCTGTCAGTGTCCTATGCTCTACAGGTACAGTCACACTCATTATGTGTTATAACCGCTAGTCATGTGTAATAGTTCATGTAATAGTGTTCATCTGTAGCTCTAACATTAGTGTATTGATACTGTTTATCATGCAGACATTTCTTTTTCATTTTAACTACATCTCATGGTGCATTTATTATGGAAGCTTGTTTCTGTCACAGAATAAAACATTTTAAAAGATAATTGCAACTTTATAATACAATTGCAACTTTATTTCACACAATTGCGACTTTAAAACACACAATTCTGACTTTATATCACGCAATTCTGACTTTATAACACGATTGCGACTATATCACGCAATTCTGACTTAATATCACGCAATAATGACTTTATATCACGCAATTCTGACTTTATATCACGCAATAATGACTATCACGCAATTCTGACTTTATAACGCAATTCTGACTTTACATCACGCAATTCTGACTTTATATCACGCAATTCTGACTTTATAACACAATTCTGACTATATCACGCAATTCTGACTTTATATCACGCAATAATGACTTTATATCACGCAATTCTGACTTTATAACACAATTCTGACTTTATATCACGCAATTCTGACTTTATATCACGCAATAATGACTATCACGCAATTCTGACTTTATAACGCAATTCTGACTTTATATCACGCAATAATGACTTTATATCACGCAATAATGACTTTATATCACGCAATTCTGACTTTACATCACGCAATAATGACTTTATATCACGCAATTCTGACTTTATAACACAATTCTGACTTTATATCACGCAATTCTGACTTTATATCACGCAATAATGACTTTATATCACGTAATTCTGACTTTATAACGCAATTCTGACTTTATATCACGCAATTCTGACTTTATATCACGCAATAATGACTTTATCACGCAATTCTGACTTTATAACGCAATTCTGACTTTACATCACGCAATTCTGACTTTATATCACGCAATAATGACTTTATATCACGTAATAATGACTTTATATCACGCAATTCTGACTTTATAACACGCAATTCTGACTTTATATCACGCAATTCTGACTTTATATCACGTAACAATGACTTTATATCACGCAATTCTGACTTTATAACACAATTCTGACTTTATATCACGCAATTCTGACTTTATAACGCAATAATGACTATCACGCAATTCTGACTTTATAACGCAATAATGACTTTATATCACGCAATAATGACTTTATAACGCAATAATGACTTTACATCACGCAATTCTGACTTTATATCACGCAATAATGACTTTATATCACGCAATTCTGACTTTATAACACAATTCTGACTTTATATCACGCAATTCTGACTTTATATCACGCAATTCTGACTTTATATCACGCAATTCTGACTTTATATCACGCAATAATGACTTTATATCACGCAATTCTGACTTTATATCACGCAATTCTGACTTTATATCACGCAATAATGACTTTATATCACGCAATTCTGACTTTATAACACAATTCTGACTTTATATCACGCAATAATGACTTTATATCACGCAATAATGACTTTATATCACGCAATAATGACTTTATATCACGCAATTCTGACTTTATAACGCAATTCTGACTTTACATCACGCAATTCTGACTTTATAACGCAATTCTGACTTTATAACACAATTGCAACTTTATATCTCACAATTCTGACTTTATAACACACAATTGCGACTTTATAACACGCAATTCTCACTTTATAACAAGCAATTGTGAGAAAAAAAGTCGCAATTACCTTTTTTATTTTTTATTCTGTGGCGGAAACAAGGTTCCATAATTTACACAAATAACATAAGACATAAATACGTAGGAGAAATATTTAAGCAATAAACAATAAATAACTGTATTATTGTTACCAAGTATACAGTTATATACAGTTTAACTGTATACTGTGAATTCCGGCTCGCGTACCCCGAAGTGATAAAATAAAACAAAATTCTGTATCAAAATTTATAGGCAAGAAAAGTAGTTTGTTTAGGCTGGGTTGTATGAATTACAAACCTGCGCACATATTTTAAAAAGCACATAACTATAGAATTCTGAATGAGCATGTGAACGCCGTCAGCGTTAATCACAGGTTCGCGTTTAAAGTCTGATCATTTCGACGGAGGTGAATCAATCAAAGTTAACTTTAGCTGGAAGTAACATTATTCAAGAACCGCTATAACGCCAAAACAATCTGTTACCTTAAATTATATGTTTATCTCTGTAAAGCTCCTTTGAAACAATCCATTGTTAAAAGCGCTATATAAATGAAGATGACTTGACTTGACTTGACATTAAGCAGATGCTTTTATTTGCTTTTTAAATTGTTTTATACAACAATATTTGCAGTATGCAATGTCACATTTAATATAAAGCAAGATTAGAAAACAGAGGAGTTTTTTCCTTCACTGTAAGCGCCTCTATTCTGCAACAACACTTTTTACTTCTACTGTATACTGTAGGTCACTATGTCCCTTAACTGGATGGTGAGGATGACCTCTGACCTTGAGAGCAACATAGTAGCGGTGGAAAGAGTGAAGGAGTATTCAGAAACACCGACTGAGGTACAGTACAACAAACACACGCTCGTTTTCTTAAGAATAAACATTTAATTGATTTATTTGCTCTTGAATATCAGCATGAAATCTGGTCCGCTTTTTCACAGCACTGTGAAAATGATGTTGAAACAGTAAAAAACGCTCTAGAATTTACTTTACTCTTTGACGGTAGTTTGAGAAAACTAGTAATTAAGTAGGAAAATAAGTACAGGTGAAATTCGAAAAATTAGAATATCGTGCAAAAGTTCATTTATTTCAGTAATTCAACTTAAAAGGTGAAACTAATATATTATATAGACTCATTATATGCAAAGTGAGATATTTCGAGACTTAATTTTGATGATTATGGCTTACAGATATGAATTCAAAATTAGAATATTGTGAAAAGGTTTTCATAAGCTGTAAGACATAATCATCAAAATTAAGTCTTGAAATATCTCACTTTGCATGTAATGAGTCTATATAATAAATTAGTTTCACCTTTTAAGTTGAATTACTGATATAAATGAACATATTCAAATTTTTCGCGTTTCACCTGTATCTTCACAAGCTTTTCATCGTTTAATTTCAGAAAAACGACCATCTGAAACTGAAACTCTAAGATCTTCACGAGAAAACGTCACAATAAAAGTCTGGTTTAACGTGAAGAAATTATGACAGAAATATATCACTGCTGTATACTAAAATATACTTCTCAAAGTAATAATAATAATATTTCTAAGGAATATCATACAAGAAATTATAAAATATTTTTCATCCATGTATTAAATGTATACAGTTCTGTTGTGCAGCATCGTATTTGCCAAAACATAAAAATGCAATGTTTTGTTGTAAATTAATTGTTATATTTCAATTTGATTACATTTTAGAAGCTTAATTAAATTGTTAAAGTGTATATAAAATTCTTAAATCATTAAACGCAGAATCCCCCCAAAAATAAATCAAATGGAAAACACAGAATTTAGGGAAAATTAAAATGAATTTCATGGGGCCCTAAATTAAAGGGCAGCGACTCTGTGGAGTTGAATTGTGAACAAACAAATATACATGTTTACATTCATCCTCAAGGTCTAATATGTTATGTTAATTAATGTTAAATGAATATCAGCCAGCCCTAAAATAAGCAACTAGTAACTAAGTAAGAAATAAAACAGGTTTTTCTGACCCCATTGACACTAATTTGTTCTTGTTTTAATCATAAACTCACTTTTTTCGTATATCTTCAGTCATTTTGTTTTTCAAATAAATGTATCTTATGAATGTTTAGATATTTGTGCTGAAAAACAGGACAGAAACGCAGTTTATTCTGAAAAAAGACCGTAATCAATGTAATACGCACCGCAAAGAAGTTATTACTCATTTGTTTGGGACCAGAGTTTGGCTTTCCTTCCGCTTGCAGTTTATTCTGATCATCGACAGCAAGAGCTCATTTGATGTAAGATATTATAACGTTATACAAGTAATATACGTTGTAATACCCATGTCACTATACACATTTCTGTCCTCAAAAACACACACACACTAACCCGACCCCTAAACCTACCCATCACACAAAGCTTCTGTATTTTTACATTTTCAAAAAAACACATTTTATTATGTTTATTAATCAATTAATAGCCAGAAAAAAGTCCTTACAAAGTAGGGAATCTCAAATTTTACTGTCCTTGTGGGGACATTTGGTCCTCAAGTATAGCTAAACATGCCCACACACACTCACACTCACACACATTTATGAATGTTGAGATGTTTGTGCTGGAAAACGAGACAGAAGCACTGAGGAAGAGCATCATGTTTGCAGTTTATTCTGAGCTGATTAAACTGGACCCTGGGTCTCCACAGGCTCCATGGGTCGTGCAGGACAAGCGCCCGCCGCCGGACTGGCCTCCCGAGGGAAACGTGGAGTTCGTGGATTACAGCGTGAGATATCGAGAAGGACTGGACCTGGTGCTGAAGAACGTCTCTCTGAAGGTCAAGGGAGGAGAGAAGGTCAGGAGCCTCGTAATGCCGTTTCTGGCAGCTTTACATCTGTTTTAAGCCACCAACATGTGGATCAGCTGTCAAAAGAAGACAATATTTCAATCACTTAAAGTCCCCCTGTAGTCAATCATTTTATCCCTTAAAACTCATTTCTTTGATCACCAAAATGACATATTTAGGCGTGTTTCCTTAAAAAAAATCTTCATGTCTTAAAATATCTTGAATGTAACTCGACACCCTTGCCTCATTTAGTATGCACGGTTCTATGAATATGCAAATGAGCCCCGCCTCCACTCACTCCCTCAGCTCAGAGATCCACTGGTTGGCGATCACACGTTGATCTGATTGGTTACAAGGTCGTTTGTGACGTCAGAAACACCAGCGATTTCAAACCGTGTTTTTGAGACTGTCTTTGGTTCACTGCAGTTTTAAGGAGGAAATACTCAGCAATGCTGTCAACTTATGAACTTACACATGGTTTGTGTTAAAGCGTATTAAAAACACCACATAGACACATAAACAACATTAAAAACTGGATTTTCAACACAGGGGGACTTTAAGAAAAACAGTTAGAGGGGGGAAAAAAAACGTAAAATGCCTGAAACAGTGATATTAAAAGATCAGATTAAGTTTACAGCTTATTCATCAAGTATACTATATACAGATGAGCAGATGAGCCCAGAATATCAACAATAAAGAGTATTTTACCCTCATTAGTGGGTAATTCTGTAAAAGCTGACAGTAGGCTTCTTAAATTGAGCAAAGCTAAATATAATATGAGTTAAAATGTAATTTAATAGGCAATAAATAGCTATTTCTGAGTGTTTGATACACTAACATAACCAGTGAACTCCAGTGGATGATATTTGTGGAGTAAATCTGAGGAAACATCATTACTGTCATATAGCATGTGTGTGAACGCACACACAGATTCTGGAAAATCACTGGCAGTGTGAATGAACCAAAATCAAACGATCCCGGGACACATTATCTGTGTATTTTCCGGAATCCGGGGCTCATGTGTATCCATTCATGCACATTTGAATCAAGTGGTCTATAAAACATTTGAGTCATGGATGTGCGCACGCACCGAGGATCTGTCTTCGTTTATTCTGCCTCCAGTTGATTAGTGTTCAAACTGTTCAAACGCTGAACCTCACGACACGTGACTCTACAAGAGTGATCACTGATAGGCTGTCTGTCACCAATCACGTTTTAGAGATGAAATGAAATCCTCTCCTGACTGACGTTACTACTTTATACTCGAGAAATGCAGTGGAGTAAAAAGTACAATATTCGTCTTTCAAATGTAGTGAAGTTAAAGTAAAAGATTTCCAGAAAAAAATAAAAGTCAAGTAAAGTACAGATACTCAAAAAGTGTACTTAAAGGTGCATTGCGCAAGTCTCTGAGTTTTTGCAGAACTACGCCCCCTCTGGCGACAAGCGAAACTGCAACCAGAGGTGCGCACGCTCATGGACCACACGCACACACACACTTCGAGCTCGAGCTGTTCATAACCAAAGGAGCATCAGCCGCACAAATCTTTTGTTTACAGTCATAATGTCTTCAGAGGTAATAAAGTTATAAATCTGCAAGTCATTTTAAATATATGAAAGGAAAGGCATTTGAGGAAATTACACACTTATGTGTGAGGGGAAAACGGGGGTAGTAGAAAACTTCGGTTTTTGTTTCCATCTATCTCCATGTTGAACTGTTTTATGTGTTTACTGTATCCACTTATGATTGTATTATTATGGAAACACGTTCATGAACCGTTTTATCAAGAAAAAAGCCAACTGAGGATCCCTTTTGAGCCCTAGAGCAGACCGGAGATCTCTCCATTTGTTGAAAGCCTTCCCGATGTTGACTCTCGTCTTATTCCAACGCCTGTCTGACTCCAATTTGGCCCTTTTGGTGGCACTAGACACAAGTTTTCTTTTCTTTGTCTTACGTGGAGTTTGCGTTGGGGTTTGGAATGAACTACAAGCCGGTCTCTTAGAATCCATCTTCTACTTCTGTCGAAAGTTGACTAAAGTTTTGTCGCTCGAGTTGTCTTCGCTGATACGGAGAATGGCGGCGAATACACAAACCTGCCAGACATAGCCAGGGGAGCGTGAACGCGCATGACGTCACGCCCAGTCTCTTATTTACCCGAATCCCTCTTATTTATTTTACTGTACAGGATTATAGAGGCAATCGCAGTGATCAGAGAAGGGCTCATTCAGCCCATCAGGCAATTGTTTAAGCATGTATGGGTTAGAAAAACGGGTATTTTTAACATGAAATGTTGCGCAATGCACCTTTAAAGGTGCTGTATGTAACTTTCCTACTCTTCTAAAGCATAAAAACACCATAATGTGGTTGCAGATATTTAGGAAACATGCTGAGTTCACATACTCGTTTATCTGAAAAACACTTCTACAGCCGGTTATTTTACTTGTTATTTTACATATTCTGTGTTGTCAGTCGGTTTTTGTTTTGGTCTGTGTGACTCCGCCCACTGCCAGTTCACCCAATAGTATTTCGACACCCCGGGTTGCCAGTTGGCGGGAAACAGCGTATTGTAGCCATGGAAACGAGCAAACAAACTGGGTCAGATATGGCAGATTCCACACAACCTAAAAAGCCCTCGATATCCTTCTAAAAATCTCTATGAACGAGAGCAGCGGATAAATCAACTTACAGTCTCCTCGGTTTCCGATGTCAATAGCGCCGTCCTCAAACTGGCGACCCGCGTGAGCGTCGAGTCTGAGGAGGCGGGGGCGGAGAAACAATGTTCTCCGATATTTTGATTTTGGACTGCAGTACCTATTTCCACCACTAGCGGTCATTCTTACAGACTGCATCTTTAAGTACAGTACTAAAGTTAATGTCCTTCGTTACTGTCCACCTCTGCAGATCGGCATCGTGGGAAGGACGGGAGCCGGGAAGTCGTCGATGACTCTGTGTTTGTTTCGTCTGCTGGAAGCGGCGGATGGAGAGATCGTGATCGACGAGGTGAAGATCTCAGAGATCGGCCTTCATGACCTGCGATCCAAACTCACCATCATCCCTCAGGTGTGGTGCTAGCGCATCTGTTTTCATTTAAGCACAGCTGTTTATTGCGATATTAGCACTGCACTCATGATGGGTCAGCAGAAAAAGCTCATTTCCCCATTCAGAGCCATAAAGCAGTTGATTGTGCTGGCGGTGGATGAAGCCAGAGCGCTGAGCGCTGATAATGAGCCTGTGCAACTCCACACACCGCTGAGGCTAATGGCCTGTTCGTTTGTGTCCAGATTATTAACATTATGCTTTTTTCCTGTTGTTTG